AAGAAGTTTTTTAAACGAATTTTATGATGGAAATAGATATGAGTTGTAGGATATTATTAAAAGTTATAATTAATTTGTATATATGAAATATTAGAAGTATATCGATAATAAAACTCTATACAACAATTTTTTCTTAAAAAAGTTATCCAAAATTCGCTTAGTTAGCATCATATGTTTCACAATAAAACCCATTTGTCGTCTACGTGGCACGACACTTGGCGAAATCCTGGAATGCCAAGTGTCGTTGTCTCGTGGCCTGGTTGCGAGACCGACTTTATTTATTAGTGATGATATGATATGATATTAGATTTATCAAACAATTTAGGATATATTCCCTTCAAAAAAACAATATTCGAACCAATTTTGAATAAGTTTTAACCTTCTATAACACCTATCCTGTTATCAAAAATAAAACACATTGCTCCTAATAGATAATTAGATATTTAGATACCATCCTTAAGCATGATCACACATCTTGTGTAATATAGAGTAGTAAAGATTAAAGAAGGCAGCGACGACTAATTGGAGTCTTCTTTCCTAAATTTGCTCTTAGCTTTGTTTAGAGGTGGCCAGTGGGCCGGGTTCGGCCCACCCTAACCCGCACGGCTGGTGGGTCACGTGGGTCCAGCCCGGTTTCAACCCGGCACAGCTCGGATTTAACTCGGGTTGTGTCGTGGGTCCAAAATTTTCGACACAACCAATTTCAACCCAGCTCGGTTTAACTCGTTTGATTCGACCCAACTCACACAACCCGTTTTGACCCATTTAATTCGACACACCTAGCCCGTGAACCCACCTAACCCGACCCACCTCGCACGACCCAGCCCGCATGCATGACCCACCCAACCTGCCCCACCTAACCCTCCCGACCCGCTCGGCCCGCCTAGCCTAACATCCATTTTTTTAAAAAAAAACGTCTAGTTTTTTGTATGTACCGACTAGTTTTTTGAGTGTATGATCATCCCTTCAATTTTCCCTATAAATACCAATTCCATTTCACTCAAATTTCCACACAACTCAAGCTTTCTTTCTCTCTTACTCAAAAGTTTTTAACAATTCTCAAATTCTCAAGTGTTATATAGAGTTTTATTTTTGTTAAAAAAAATCTCCTTAATGTTATTATTAGTATTCTTAAGATTCTAAAAAAAAAAAAAAAGTTCTTCTCCATATTATAATTAGTAATCATAAAAAAAATAAAAAAATAAAAAAAAAAAGGGCTCAAGAGGAGGAATGAGAAGGAATCAAAGTGGTGGCCAAAGGAGTGGTGGTGCAAATTTTTCGTATGAAATTAATACGGAAAATTTAAACCAATTTGTCAATGAATATGAAGATTATGGTTTAAGAGATAGGCAAAATATTCAAACGTCTCCACCACAACATTTCTCCCACCAATCATCGAGTTCAACTATGCCACCTCCATCGCAACCAACATCACAACCTTCATCTCAAGGTAATTTCTAATTAAATTTTTATTGTTATGAATATTTTTAAAAACTATTATTAATGATTATAAAGTTAGTTTAGTTTCCAATTTTCTATGATTTACAATTAGTTAATTACCATGAAAAATGCTTTTAAATTATTATAATTATAATATTTAAAATTTAAAAGCTTATTTTCATGAATAGCGTTTAAAATTAATTTCAATAATTTGATTTATGAAAGGTGGTGGCGGTGAAAGTAGAGGTCGAGCACAATTTTCTTAGGTGTGGAAATATTTTGAACGAGTTGAGGTCACACCCCCGGGATGGCAACCCGGTTAACCAAAGAGGTTCACGTGTACATGCCTAGTTTGCAAGGCGCTAGGTGCAAATGTCATAGTTGGAAAACGGGAGATGGAACCGGAACCTTGAGTCGGCATTTTGCAAAATAAACACAAGTCGGCATTTGCAAAATAAACACGACTTGTTCGAAAATGGCCCCAGTCCTTCGGTGGGTGGCGTCCAAACACAATTGGGTGGATACATGAACCAACCCGACGGAGGTATACCTTTCATTTATAATAAATATAGAATGATTGATGAAATGAGTACTTTAGTTATTGCTAATGAATACCCTTTTAGTTACGGTGAAAATGCAAACATTGAGCATTTTAATAAAGTTGCATTACAACCTGCATTTACTCGTGTCCCCCGAAATACCCTAAGATGTTATACACAAACTTCTTATTATAAGTATAGGAGTGGTTTGATTGAATTATTTCGTACTTTTGATGGTCGTGTTAGTTTTACAAGTGATACATGGACTTCTAGTTTTGGCGAACCTTTTCTTTGCATTACTGCTCATTGGGTGGATGATGATTGGTTTATTCAAAAACGTATACTATGTTTTCAAGCTATGGAAGAAAGGCATACCAGTTTTAACATCAAAGTTCGTATTTTGGATTGTTTAAAAGAATTTCACTTGAATAATAAAGTTTTTTCTTTGTCTCTTGATAATGCAACTGCAAACACAAAGTGTATTGACTATTTGAAAAATGACTCCGAGTTGCATTTGTTGTTGGGTGGTAGTCTCTTGCATGTCAGATGTTGTGCTCATATTTTGAATTTGAACCATTTCTAAACCCAATTAGAACAGTTATAAAATGGATTAGGATTACTCAGTCAGTTAGAAGAGAGTACATAGCTATGTGTAAAGAGAGAGGTCTTAAGAAAAGACAATGGTCTATTGATACCCCTACCCGTTGGAATTCTACTTTCAAGTTGTTGAGTGATGCTATAAAGTATCGTGACATTTTGACCCAACTTTACAATGAGATTTGGACTAATGCTATAAAGTATCGTGTTGATCCTACTGAGTTAATAACCGAAAGTCATTGGACTAATGCTTCTTTTGTTCGTGATGTTTTAAATGTTTTTGATAATGCAACTCATATTTTCTCTTATATTTATGAGCCTAACATTCATTTAGTCATAATTGAGTGTGTTAAAGTTGTTCACACCATCGAAGAGCATATGATGATTGATGGACTTCGTCCCGTTCTTGATAGAATGAAACGTAAGTGGCATACTTATTTTAGAGAATTTCCAATCATTTATGGAATTGCTGCTATTCTTGACCCCGATGTCAAAGCTGAAGGTTTGGAAAATCTTTTAGAATTTTATTATACAAGTTTAAGTATCGATTATGATGTTAGTGAATATATTAACAAATGCAAATCTGTTGGGAGACCTTAATGATCATTATGCATCTATTTATGGTTTTGATTTGGCAACACCAACTACTACTAGCACTTCCGATTCTAGATTTGGTTTTCTTGATAAGTTATGAAAAAAAAATACAAAGCATCTACATCATTCTCATCATCATCTTCTTCAACACTTGCTATTAATGATTATTCGTCATATCAACATGAGACCAACAACAACTTTCAAATTATAAAATGGTGGCAAGAACATAAAAAAAGTTTTCCTATATTGGCGAGAATTGCAAAAGATATACATGCAGTTCCCACTTCATCCGTTGCTTCCGAGTCTGCTTTTAGTGCAGGTTGAAGAGTGTTAGATGAAAAAAGATCTCGCTTAACTCCGGAAAGCATTCAAATTTGTGTTTGTAAGAAAGATTGGGATCAAGCTGAAAGAAGAACTCAAGATTTAAAGGAAGACGAAGACGATGAAGATGATCATGTGATGAGATTGGAGTCGTCAACGGATGATGCAGCTTTCGAGGATGATGATGCAACAAACATGGGTGGCTAGAAAAGTCTAAATCAGGTACACGCTAAGAACTACGTGGGCTTTGATTCTTTCGGGATACGTAAGCAACTTATTTTTCGAAAATTACAATTTAATTGCAAAATTAAATTTTAGTTTTCTAAAGATATGTCCAAGCCCCCCTTCCCCCCAAATTCCAAAAGAAGTACAATGTAAGAACTACGTTGGCTTTGATTCCTTATTTTATAATATAAGGATATGTAGGCATCTCAATTAAGAGCAACTGAGCAAGCCATCAAATTGTTAATTTTGTAAAAATTTAAACACCACACAACCCACCCGACCCTAACCCACGAACCCACCCGACCCTAACCCACTAACCCACCCTTCGACCCACCCTAACCCACCCTTCGACCCACCCTAACCCACTAACCCACCTTGACCCGTCTAACCCACGAACCCAGCTCGACCCACCCACGACCCGTCTAACCCACTCACCCAGCTCGACCCACTCACGACTCGTCTAACCCACGAACTTAACCCTGGTGTGTCCAACTTCTCCGACCCAACCCACGACCCGGCCCACCCTACCCTACGTGTGTCGTGCCGTGTGTTATAAAACCCCAACCCGCGACCCACCTAACCCTAACCCAGCTCGCACGACTCGCACGGTGAACACCTCTAGCTTTGTTGTATCAAAGATCCGAATTTTTGGATCCTATTTTATTTATAAAATCTATTTGGTTTTATTAGTAAAAGTGGTATTATAACTTTTAATATAGGTTAAACAGTAATGTACAAGTAGGTGATGGGTGATTACTTCTCTCAATAAATAAATAAATAAATAGAAAAAATAATAATATTGGTGATTCCTTGATTAGCTAGCAAGTTGAATTGATCACGGACTTTGATTTTGAGATTGTATTTTAACTATCATTCTTGTATTTTGAAAAAATTGTATCATAATCTTTTTTTTAAAACTATCATTCTTGTATTTTAAAAAAAATTTATCATTATCTTTTTTTAAAAAAAAAAAAAAAAAAAAAGAAAAACTATCATTCTTGTATTTTGAAAAAATACTATCATTCTTGTATTTTGAAAAAATTGTATCATTATCCTTATTAAAACTTAATTTATTTAGTTGTAATTTGTACTTGATAATCCTTTTCAGGACTTATTTACATGAACTTAATTATCTTATCTAAACTAATTTGTACTTAACTATTATAAGGTGTACATAACAGACTCTTAATGTTATCTTATCGATCACATTAGTCTTGAACTAATATGAACTCGTTAATTATTTGAATTTATCAAGTTTCATATTATACAAAAGTTTTATCTAATTGAACTTCTTATCGAATTATTAAACCTTATATAAGGTGTATAAGACTGACGAGGAATACAGAGCCTATAAAAAGAAGATTATACCATACATAATTATTAATATATACCCTCGCAACTTGTTACAAACCAAAAATTCAACCAACATTCAACAAACATGGGGAAGAGACTCTTGCACACAATATCCTCATTCCTCTGCATCGTTTCACTCCTTTCCTTCCTCCTACCCACATTACACGCGCTGCCCTTATCGACGAATTCACGATGGATTGTGGACAGCAACACGGGGCAGCGCGTAAAGCTGTCGTGCATAAACTGGTCATCACACCTAGAGTTGATGGTGGCCGAAGGGCTAACAAAACAACCAGCTGATGTAATATCAAAGAAAATAAAAGACATGGGATTTAACTGTGTTAGGCTAACTTATCCAATATATTTGCCAACCAATGAAACCTTGGCTTCTATGACTGTAAGACAGTCTTATCTAAATAATGGTCTTTCAAAGTGCATGGTTGCTGATTTACAAGCTCATAATCCCTCCATTGTTGACCTCCCCCTCATTGATGCCATCCAGGTAAATTACTTTAATTTATTTTCTTCATTGTTTAACCTAATCCGATTTCTTGTTTGTATTCAATTTTTGCTTCAAATTTCGAGTTTATTGGTCTTTCCCTGAGATATATATGCAATTGTGTCGTACCTTATAAAATATCACTAAATATTAACAATAAGTAAATTTAAGCTTAATGTGATACGAAGTAATATTTTAAAAATAATAACACGGATTGGAGTACATCTTTGTAATTATAATTGGATGGAATTGAATGTGAATAATGGCATTATATATCTAATAACCTTAGCTTCAAGTCAAAACTATACATCACATGCATGAATTAAATGTCTCCCACGAAGCTGAATTACTATACAGGCAAAGAACATCTACACATGCATAATATTCTAAATTTGTTGATTAAATTATGTTAGTATTTAGGAAAGAAATACAAGTATATTCTAGTGATACCATAGACAAAATTATGGTGAGCATTGATATTAGAATATTATCTAATTAGAGTGCTATGTTGTTGTTTTTGCCACTTGAAATTAGAATATCACTAAGATTTGTATAAGACATATTTGAGTTCATGTACTACTAGAAATTTACTGCTGAAAGATTTTTTTTTTAAAAGAGATTATTTGGGATTTTTTTTTTTATCCATAAAAACACAATAATAATAGGTATAAATCTGTCAAAAGTTATAATAAAAAAAGTGAGAGAATCAAAAATAGAAAGTGGTCCTAATCCAATAGTTATTGCCAAAAACATATAAGTAAATGGTCCTATAGTGTACTACTACAAATATCTATAAGAGTGTTTATTCTACTCAGAACAGAAATAATGCACACTAGTACATTTAAATCATGTGAGCATTATCTTACAATAATTGGGGATTATTAGAGACATAAATAGACAATATTCTTTTGAAATTAAAGCGTGATTATTTTATTAATTACGAATAAAGAGAGTACCTTGTACACGTATGTAACGTATCTGCTTATAATTAATGCAGGCAGTGGTGGCAAGCCTAGCGAAGAACAAGGTTATGGTGATTTTGGATAATCATGTAAGTAAGCCACAGTGGTGTTGTGCTATGACAGATGGCAATGGCTTCTTTGGTGATAAATACTTCGACCCTGAGGTTTGGATCAAAGGCTTGACTAGAATGGCCACAATTTTCCGTGATAATCCATATGTTATTGGTATGAGTTTAAGGAATGAACTCCGTGGACCAAGGCAAAATGCTGACGATTGGTATAGGTATAGTAACAAATCTACAATATTTATGCTTTTACATATATTACTTCGCCAACATGAAAATTTAGGCTTAAGATCAACTTTTATTTACATCTTAATGACAATGATATAATAAAAAAAGAAAAATAATATATAGATAGGTATGAATGTGAGATTTAAACTAATGAAATTCAAATAATTGTACAAAACCTAATTATAAATTTTTGGCCCTTTAAGTCGTTTGACAATATACGTAGTTGCTTTCATTGTCAATTATGTATGAATTATACACATAATTGTTTTCATGGACAAATATATATGAATTATACGCATAATTGTTTTAATGGACAATCATACATCTACTTTTATTCTACAAGTAGATGAATTATACACACGATTGCTTTCAAAGACATTCACAGATTTCATCATAGAATTCTAGATGAATTAATATTCTAGAAATTATACACATATACTGAAATAAGATAAGACAATTACTTTCACACTTGTTTGTAGAATTAATTGAAGTAATTATATACTATATGCTGATTTGAAAGTGAATTAAACATCTGCTAATAACCTATCAACTAAATGAAGGTACATGCAAAGAGGAGCAGAGGCAATACACAAAGCCAACCCAAATGTACTAGTCATTCTTTCAGGGCTAAGCTACGACTCAGATTTAACCTTCCTGAAGACAAAGCCGGTATCACTAAGTTTCACAGGAAAGCTAGCTTTTGAGGTACATCAGTACTCGTTCTCAGCAGGGCTAGATTGGAGGGATAATAGCGCGAACCAAGTTTGTGGAAATATGACAGAGAGCCTGATGAACAATGCCGGATTTTTACTTGAACAAGGCTATCCTGTATACGTTGGAGAATGGGGTTTGCCCTTGAGTGGCACATCTAAGGACGACAGGAAATTCTTTAACTGTTTTCTTGCTTTAGCAGTTGAACATGACTTAGATTGGGCATTATGGACATTGGCTGGGAGCTATAATCTTCGAGAAGGAATTATCGGAGATAATGAAGCTTTTGGATTGCTAACCTGGAATTGGACTGATGTTCGTAACACAACTTTCTTGCAGAAGATCTCTGTTATTCAATCCCCTCATCGAGGTAACAGTCCTGCTTTTTTAAATATCATCTTTACTGGTTTATTTTGGCCGTGCTCTCTTTGGTAAGGAGCTTTTAACTTATCCAGGTATATTGTGAAACTAATTTATTGCACAGTATGTCTTGTGTGCAACTTACCATACCATGAGTCCGGTTGTAAAAAAAACAAAGTAACCCCTATACAATTGACCGAGTCATCCCTGACCAAGTAACCCCTGTAATACTGATTGAGTAGCTCCTATAACACTAACAAAGTAACCCCAATAATGGCTGGCCATAGCCACATATCACATTGAAGGAGTTTTTATAAGCTCAAAAGTCCATTTTTGAAAAAGCTCATAATAGTATTTAGTTTTTAGCTAACGGATATATATACAGTATATTTACCAAACACTTTTACACGACAAACTATTTGTTGATATGCAGGTCCATATCCTTCATACCGCCACACACACAAGATTATATTTCACCCATCAACAGGACAATGCATCGTAAAAGATCCAGTGAAAGGCATTAAGCTTGGAAATTGCTTTGAATCCGACCATTGGATCTACACACCCGAGTTGACCATTGGCATCAAGGATTCATTCCACTGCTTGAAGGCAAAAGGTTTGAATCATCGCGCTAGGCTTGCCACCGACTGTCAAGGAGGAGGAACGAGATGGCTTCCGATCTCAGCCTCGAAGCTCCATCTTGCAACTGAATTGAGCTACAACTCTATTGCTTGCTTGGATGTGGATTCCAATAACACTCTCATTACAACCACTTGCAAGTGCTTAAGCATCGATGACAACTCGTGTGACCCTGGAAGCCAGTGGTTTAAGATTGCTGATGCTAATGCTGTTACTACTAGCTAGGTTAAAAGTACAATTTCGGATGTAATATAATTCCCTAGAATAATAGCCAGTATATTGGAAACCAAGTCATGGGCTTTCACTAGAGCGATCGTGACTTGTAGAGATTATTATTTTAGTCTAGATTTGGCTTACACGTTTTTACCATTCACTTGAGTGGATTTTTCGTGTTTTAAACATATTAGGTATCATTAATTTTTTATATTTGTTTTTAAGATTAATTTTATTTATTTTACAAATCTTAGTAGTATTCTTATGTTTTAGGAATCTTTTTGTTTTGTTATCTACTAGTTTGTAATGACTTTTTAAGCCCAAACATATAAGAAGTTTTTAATAAAGTTTAGAGTAATTTGAGTTCAAGAAATTGATGACCATTAGCTATAAAGGAGATAGCCAAATATACAGGTGATTCCTTGACTAGCTAGCACGTAGATCACGGACTTTAACATTTGAGATTGGTCAAGTTTATAAAAATTAAAAGGACGGAGCTTAATTATTGGGCACTGCCCGTCCAAAATACTTCTTGGCATTGGTTTACTCAAGCTTATTTAAAATTTCGCTTAGTAAGCCTATCGTGTTACATGACTACTTAAGTAAAAAAAATTGTACTCTTTAATATATATAACTGTCTCTTAGTGACTTACTTCCTCCGTTTCGCATTAGTTGCAACAATAGGCTTGGCTCATAATTTAAGAAAATTATAGACTAGGCTTATAATATACTACCTCCGTTAAATATTAGTTGCAACTTTGGATATTATATGTGAGATATAAAATATTCCAAAGTTGCAACTAATATGTAACGGAGGTAGTAAAGTACTGTTAGTAAGAGATAGAAATAATAAGAAAAGTAGCGTAGGTGAGATTGGTAGGAAAAAAAATAATAAAATATTTGTGAAAGTGGGGTTAGTGGGAGAGAGAAATTATAAAATAATGGTGGGTCATTTCTAAGTATAGAAGTGTTGCAACTAATATGAAACAATCGAAAATAGAAAGTGTTGCAACTAATGCGAAATGGACGAAGTACTATTTTTAATTCGTACCTCCATTTTCTTTTGTTTGTAGTTCTATCTGAAATGAAAATGATTATCATATCATACTCTAGCAAACATAATATTTGCGGGATCTTGTTCGATTTGTCTTGATTTTTAATTTTCAATAAATATTAAATTTATAAAAAAAATTGTAATGCGTAGTTTGATATATTTAAATTACAATATTATTGTATTATTGGAAATTATGTGAGTTGAATACCAAATGGGACAAACATATAGAAATAGAGGGAGTACAGGCCTTATATAAAGTGTTCAAAGAGAGCCTAAGAAGGATATATATACCCTCACAACTTGTTACAAACCAAGCATTCAACAAACATGGGGAGGAGACTCTTGCTCACAAACTCCTTCCTCTTCATCATTTCACTCCTATCTTTCCTCCTACCCTCATTGCACGCGCTGCCCTTATCGACAAATTCACGATGGATTGTCAACAACACGGGGCAGCACGTAAAGCTGGCGTGCATAAACTGGTCATCACACCTAGAGTTGATGGTGGCAGAAGGGCTAACAAAACAGCCAGTTGATGTAATATCAAAGAAAATAAAAGACATGAAATTTAACTGTGTTAGGCTAACTTATCCTATTTATTTGGCAACCAATAAAACCTTGGCTTCTCAAACTGTAAGACAGTCTTTTCTAAATGCTGGTCTTTCCAAATTCATTCTTGCTGATTTACAAGCTAATAATCCCTCCATTATTGACCTCTCCCTCAATGATGCTTTTCAGGTAAATTTCTTTCCTCCTTAATTATTTTATCTAGATCTCATTTTATTTCTTATTTGTATTAAAAAAAAAAAAAAAAAAAAAATTGCCACTTTTTTCTTTTCTTCTTCTTGTTAGCATTTACAATTATTTCTTTCAATTTTATGAATCTTGTTGTTTGATTTCCTTATGTTGCTTCCCTGAGATAGGGAGATCTTTATGTTTGTATACCTTTCGTTTTAAAATCTAAGTAAATATAAAATTATAAAAATACGAAAATTTAAGCTTAAATAGCTTAAAATACATAATAAATAATAATAAATTTACATAATAGTAGATCTTAATAATCATAGCTTCAAGTCAACATTATACATAACATCACATGCATTAGTTATGTCTCCCACTGTACAAAGCTAAATGACTAAACAGGCAAAAGATCATCTACACATGCATAAAGGACGCATGATACGGAGTATCTAATGTTTTTCCTATTAAATACTGATCCGAATTAGGAATATAGGAGAATATATTTTTGTGATAATGGTAGTATTTAGGAAAGAAATACTTCATCTTATTGATATTTCAAAATAGAATTATACTAATTACTAAACATTGATATTATATTATTATCTTATTATGAGAGTGAGTTGACGGATAGCTCAAGTGGTTAGAATTTCCCTCCTGGTTTCAGAATATCCTAGAATCGATTTTCACCCCCCTTGTGGCTCTCTAAACACCAAAAAAAAAAAAAAAAAAAAAAAAAATCTTATTATGACCTTCTTTTAAGATGATTATGAAATCTTGTTTCTTACGCCTATTGGCTAGAAGCCTAGAACGCGTAGGAGGGTTATGATGCTATGTTGCTATATTATACCAATAACCTATTGATTTATCTTAGAAATTAGAATATCACTAAGATATAGTTGTACGTAGTATTATTATTTAGTAGACAATCTAGACATATTTGAGTTCATATACTAGTAGAAGTGTAGAACACTTAGCTTTCAGCTGAAAGAAAACGGTAACATCTGGGATTTGTATTTATGTTTCCATAAAAACAGTTGTATAGGTAGGTAGATTTTTATATAAAAGGATTATAAGTCATCTATCAAAAGTATATGAAGTAAGAAAGAAATTAAAGCGAGAGAACGCAAACAAAAGATAATGGTCCTAATCATGTAGTTTTTGCCAAAATTATACAAGTACTTATAAATAAATGGTCCTGCAGTATACTACGAATATCTACTAGAGTGTTAATTTTCCAGATATGAAAATAAAGCATACGTCTAATTTGATCATGTTTATTTTTGAACCTTTGTTTTTTTATTCAATGCATCACTTTGACTTATGCATTATTCACATACTATTTTTGACTCGATTTTTTTTACAATTGTAAATGAATACAAGTAATGGGATTAGTCACAATGATTATTTTCATAACAAAGGGAGTACTTGCTTATAATTACTTGATGCAGGCCGTTGTGGCAAGCCTAGCGAAGAATAATATTATGGTAATTTTGGATAATCATGTAAGTAAACCGGCGTGGTGTTGTGGTTATGACGATGGCAATGGCTTCTTTGGTGATCAATACTTCAACCCTAAGCTTTGGATCAAGGGCTTGACTAAAATGGCCGCACTTTTCCAAGAAAATCCATACGTTGTTGGTATGAGTCTAAGGAATGAACTCCGAGGACCAAGCCAAAATACGAAAGATTGGTATAGGTACGATATATCTAATCTAGGTGAACTATATATAGACATAATTGGTACTTGCTTTTTCTTATGAAACTGAAATAAGATGTGCATGAATTGAAGTATGTAACAGTTTTTTCTTTTCCTTAACGTTTCATAGACAATTACTTTCAACATAGAATTAATTATGGATAAATGAATGGCTAATTAATTACCTATCAACTAAATGAAGGTACATGCAAAGAGGAGCGGAGGCAGTGCATAAAGCCAACCCGAATGTACTAGTAATTCTTTCCGGTCTAAGCTATGACACAGATTTAAGCTTCCTCAGGACAAAGCCGGTATCTCTAAGTTTCACAGGAAAGTTAGCATTTGAGGTGCATCAGTATTCCTTCTCAGCAGGGCTAGATTGGAAGACTAAGAACGCAAACCAAGTTTGTGGGAATATGACCAACAACCTGATGAAAAATGCTGGATTTCTACTTGATCAAGGCTATCCTTTGTTTGTAGGAGAGTGGAGTGTAGCCTTGAGTAGTATATCTCAGAGTGACACAAAATACTTGAATTGTTTGCTTGCGTTGGCAGTTGAACACGACTTAGATTGGGCGTTATGGACATTGGCTGGAAGCTATAATTTCAAAGATGGAATTCTAGGCAAAAATGAGCGCTTTGGATTGCTAACTCAGAATTGGACTGATGTTCGTAACAAAAGTTTCTTGCAGAAGATATCTGTTATCCAATCCCCTCTTCAAGGTAACCTGTTTTTCTATTACTCGTAATAGACGTGTCGCGTGTGTAGTGTGCATTACTAATCTGCACAGCTTCTGAATGTCTGATATGCAGGTCCAGAAACTTCATATCGCCAGTCACACAAGATTATATATCACCCATCAACAGGACTCTGCATCCTAAAAAAACCAGTAATGGGAATAAAGCTTGGAAATTGCTCTGAATCCGACCATTGGACCTACACACCCCAATATACCCTAGACATAGAGGGTTCATACCTCTGCTTAAAGGCAAAAGGTTTGAACCGTCGTGCTAAGCTTACCATTGACTGCCAGAGAAGAGGAACGACATGGGCTCCTATCTCAGCCTCGAAGCTCCATCTTGCAACTAGATTGAGCAAGAACACTACTGCTTGCTTGGATGTGGATTCTGATTACAATCTCGTTACCGCCACATGCAAGTGTTTGAGAAGCAACGATACGTGTGATCCTGGAAGCCAGTGGTTTAAGATTGCTGATGCTAATGATTTTTACTACTAGCTAGTTGAAAAAATACATTTTCGGATGTAATCTAATTCCCTAGAATAATGGCTAGTATATTGTCCTTAGCAAAGTCATTAGAAACCAAGCAATGGTCTTTCACTAGATTTAACTTTTCAATAGTGAAACATATACAAGAGGAAAGATTCACCCTTTGAAATGTTATAATCATGGTAGCTATAATACAGTAAGCAGGACTGCAAGAGCACATACAATCTTCATCCTTCCGAAGAACAATTTAACCGCGCTATATGTCCTCCGTATTTTCTAAATTGCAGCACTTTTAGTTTAGAATGACAAACTTTTAATAACAGGGGAAGGGACTCGAGGGAGAGAACGCTTCTTCTACTTTAATATTTATTTACTTCCGAAGACAATTTTGGTTAAAATTTACCAAATGTTAATCGTCGCGAATTTTGAATTGGACAAGAATTGCAATTTGTCAATTAATTATAATCACAAACAGGCTCTAACTCGAGAACTTTACACACAAGGACAAGCTTGAAATACAAAACTCAAACTAGGCAAAAAGTTTTAAATAATTTTGATCCATCTAAAATACTAGTCCCCCAAAGATATTGATCCATGACTGCCCCAGTGACCTAAGGGATAGGCTGCATTACCTTCAGAGTGTAATATCTAACATCAGAGAAACGCGCTAGGAGCCTAAGAAGTGTAAGATGAGGAGTGTTAGAATTCCTTTACGAGTTTAACAAGCCTGACGTTTTACGTTTTCATAGTATGATGTCTTTGCTTCATAATTGTCTGAAGACAAAAAATCACTAGCATTTACCATCAAAGTTGTTACCATGTACTACTAGAGAGCAAGGAGAACGTAAAACCCAAGAGATATGGCCAGCCAACTTCTACTGTTCTACACGTGAATAAATTATTTGTTGAAAAGAGCAACATGAAGTCTATCAATGCTGCCTAAACTACCAAACCACTGAGAGACATGAGAAAGATAGACAGACAGAGAAAGAAAAGGGAAATAAAGTAATCCATTATCATCTATTTAGCGGGCATAGGAGTGACCAAGTTTCACAGAACACAACAATTCCGAATACAGAATCTGCATTTAGAATTTGATGAGACATGTTGCAATAACAAGTACGAATACAAGGATTACAATCACCATCATCACTCTTCTTCCATTGCATCACCTCCCTCAGTCACCTCGGCACTCAATCTCAGTGATGTGATCTTTGTTGAAAGGACCTCTGCAAAGTGCAAACACAATAGTAACAGAATGTACTTTAGCAAATACTATAGATACGGAGACAATGCAACTGAGATGCAGCATATGTGCTCAAATAATAGGTCAATAATTATAAACACAAATCAATGTTAAAATTTCAGAATCCGTGAAATCCTAATAAGTACAGAGTAATAATTCTACATATACATCAACATCACAAACAAGCATACAGTAACAATGGAAGGCGGATATCTATTTCTAAATCATCCTATTTCTTAAATAGGTGAAATCTTTTTATATATAAAACTTTATAACAATGAAAGGCGGATAGCTATTTCTGTGTGGTATGAACTACAAGATACCTATTTATTACATGCGACCAGAAATAAAAAATCATCAGTTAAGAATGAGCTGGAAGTTGGCACAATAAAAGAATTCATGGAATTTGGGTACTTCACCTGTAGGCTTGGAAAATGTATAGCCCTTAGCACTTGTGTAGGTACGGGGATTTGGCTGCACATGATTTCTTAGATACTCTACATTTCCCTGTGAAAGCAACACAAGACAAAATAAAAATATAAGCTGATACTATAGCAAAAGCAGAGGGTGTGTCACAAGATGCATTGAGATAATACAACAGATGTGAGTTAAGATTTACAGACCTTTGTTATGACACATACGTCCACATTGCTTCCACTTCCCAAGTCATTAAAGATACCAGAAGAGATTGCCTCACAGACTATTTTAACACCTTCCTCCCTCTGCATGCACAAGAAGAAATGAGGCATGCTGCTTTAAATACATCGCAGGCAAGGCATATTAAACAGTTATGCCACTTTGTTTTAACCACAACTGCCCAATATCTGATTTAATAAAAAATGGAGTTCCACAGACATCACATGTCAAAGACAATAAGACAAACCCACTAATCATAATGCTAAATTTTAAGGACTGTCAACTTACAGAGAGTCCTTCACGGTATTTTGACTCGAAGACAGCCATTGCAGCAAGGGAACCTGATCCCATTGTAGCAAAGGGAAGTGTGTCTGTTGATCCATGAGGGTATATCTGTGCATGAAATTAATCAGCATATGCATAGCCATGTTTTTCAGTTAAATAGCTAAAAGGTTCTCACAGTGTGTAGATGAGGTCCAGTCACATCAACTCCACCTAGCACCAGTGCTGCGGAGACATGTCCTTGATACCTTGAACATAGAATAAATAGAATTGGGTGATCAGTCTTGTTCTAGTTGCATGAGCATTAAAACATATTCATCCTATTAAGGGAGATTTCTTAGAAATCACAAGATTACCTAAAAAGATGGGACTTCAGGAGAGTAAGAGCTGTAACAACCCTTGACTCGCGACCAGTGTGATACCTGTGAAGTTTTAGCTGGGAACTAACCATGTCTGCATACACAATCACCAGACCAACATAGAGCAGAATTAGTCAATATCAATAAGCAAGTAATCAGACAATAACATATATGGAATTTTAGGTGCACTATAAGTCAGGTTAACCTATCTATGGATCAAAGAAACAGTTAATCATATGCTGAGAGCAAAGGGCAAAACAGAAACAAACTTGTGTACCAACCCACAATCAGATGAAGGCCATCTATTTTAGTTTACAGTAAGATGTTTTAGCAAAAGATCAATAATCCTCAAAAATGAGAAGACCATACAGTGGCAACAAACATTTGTGTCACCTACAGGAGGTACTAATCCTACCATAGTTAAAGCATCTCCAACATAAACAACACATGGTAGGACATCAATTGTTGGCCAAAATAACTATCCACAAACAATTTCAAAGCCATTGAGATTAAAGCTTTAATTAGAAGTTGGATAATCAAGGAAATTGTTTTGTTAGGTCAATCAATTTGACTGTTTGCAAAGTGCCAAAACTAGTCTTATACTCTTTATCCACTTACAACGTTAACACAAAGAACATACTACCTCGATTTCATATTATGAGCAACATTTAACCAGAATGAATGCTACACATTAAACAAAATCATTCTTTCCTTTATTGGTAAGTATTTTATCACCACAATACCCCAATTAAATATAAGTAGCATTAGTTAAGTCACTAACCCAAAAGTCATTAAACTACTAATCACCCCCCCCCCCTCTCTCTCCTGCTTATACCTTCTGCTACCCCCCTCTCTCTTCTTCTACCTACAACCACCATCACCATGATCAACGATCACCACCAGACACAAATACCACTTCGACCACCTCCACCACCACTAGACCTGGTTATTGGTTGGGTCAAGTCAGGGTTGGTTGTGGGGTGAGTCAAAGATGGTCAAATTTTAAGGAGCCAATGGCGTGACAGGCCATTGCAAGTCACGAGTCGATAGCGGGACGATAATGGATGGGCAATTAAAATGAATATAAGACAAAGCCATAATCAAGTATATATGAATATGAAAATATACATGTAATTAATTTTACATTATCTATTAAATTGAAAAAATATTTTAGCCCTATATTGACTCTACCTAATAAAAGCCCTGTCCATCAAAAGCCTTGTCCATTAAGGGCCCTTTAAACTTGGTCCACCCTAATATCATTGGTCTACCCTACCCAATAACCAGGTCTAACCACCACCACTTTGACCACCAACACCATCTTTCACTTTGATCTTGAACTACCACTCCCCATCTCTCTATTGTACTTCTACTTAGAACATCTTCACCAACTTCATGTTCTTTCAATCTACAACTTCTTCTTCTTCAATCTTTTTTTTTTTCCTTGATTACTGTTTGTTTGGGTTCAAACATTATGATTTTTAGTTTCAATCATTTTTTTAAGGTTTCGATGGTGGTTGTCGGTGTAGATAGTGGTGGCAGTGGCGGAAATTATGTCGACAGCGGTGGGTGGCAGAAATGGTGTCGGCAATGTGTGGTTTTTGGTGGGATATTGGTGTTTACGCCCTCATAATTATTTGCCTCTTATCTTAATTAATACCCCCTTTAAAAGTTATCTAAGAAAACATGCAACTAAGTTTGTTGCACATAATAAGAAACACAAGGTAGTATATTTTAAGCCAATAACATGCAACCTAATACCATCCCCCCCCCCCCCCCTCTCTATAAAAATATGATGTAATCTTCATTCAATGTCTCTTAACAATCACCTTGATCAACTAAATTCTCATATATACATATAAGAAAATCCCACACACCTCTACATCAAACCGAACAATTCCTAGCATCAACATAATACTTATGTAGAAACCAGAAAAATCCATAATAACAAGAAACAACAAAGCATGAGCTCGTGCCTAAAATGAGAATCCACATTAAGATCAAAGTTTTAAAGGGCTAAAGGGGGAAAAATTATAAATAAATAAAACATACTTGTGGTACAAAACTTATTTGCTTCCCAAACAATTTCTACAAGAGTATTGAAATTAACTAGCCTAAGGGAAGGGATAGACTAGGCAATGCAGAATTAGTTGTTAAAAAATTAAGTTAGAAGTAGCTTAAGCAACAAGATGAGGGAACTTAGTTAGGAGTATTGGGAAAGGAGAAAGTATGTTGAATATTGTGATAACAGATAAGTGACTGGTTTGTAGCTTTGAGAGGGTGCCATTCCTCTCAAAATATTGGCAAAGCTGTAACTGGCATTAATTCAGTCATATATAGCTTGTTCTTCACTAATTTCCTTCATCTTCCCTTGATGCATCTTTAAAATCCATAATCCTCTCTGTTTTGGTCACTAATCTGAGCTGAGTCATAGCAATTTCTTACTCTTACCCAACTGCAACAAAACCCTAAAGTTATAACTGAAACTTCAGCATGATTCCCATTCAGTTTTCTATGAAATTCATTCTCTCACATAATTGGCTACACCATTTGAGGAATCTCAAGCTTTCCAAATTTATCCTTTCCACAACTTTCTCTGATATAGTCATAGCTACTACGGATTTTTACCCATTGCAAATTACCTAGAACTCTCCTTTGTACAAATCATACAACCCTATCAAGCAATT